CTGTATCTTGTTTTGAGTGGTGGTCACACTGGTGTATACGATTGTCAAAACCACTGAACAGAAGATTTACGGTCTGTGCAATTTCGTGTATCTTAATTACACCTTGGTAAAACACATTTATGTCATGAAAAGGGAGAGACTGAAAACACCATGTGAGAAAAGCCATTTTCTAGTCCACACCTCATACCCATGCCCCCAATTCCTGCAAAACGAGAAAGTGAATTTACACTCTGTGCTCTGAGCGGCAGGGCTCGGTGGGAAATTGCTTTAGGTGTTTCCTGAAATGTGATGAACAGAGAGGCCCCTTCGCAGGGCAAGGAGAAAACCCAAGAAAAGTTCTCACGGGAGAAGGCATCTGCCCCTGGGGACACATCCACTCTGTCTCATGGCTGCCTCTCTCTCCTGCTGGGCAGCCTGGGGACACTGTTTTCACACTTTCATTTTTTTCAACAAACATTCTAGAGACAGTTGCTATGTGCCAGGCCCTGGCTAACACCCACTGGTCCCTAACCTTACCTAAGAGAGATTGATAAGTAAATTGGGTGTCAGTGCACAGAGAGGGGACCCTATACTCTGTGGGGTGAGGGCAAGCTTCCTCCTCGAGGGGCCATCTAAACTTGGGGCCTTGGATAAGGAGGGGTTAACTAAGCAACTGAAGGATGTGGGCACCCCACCTCCCAGCAGTAGGTCTCTAACTTTGCCACATGTCAGAATCACTAGGCACCTCTGAAAGTCTCCGGGTTCAGGGCTCAACGCAGACCAACTGAATCAGAGTTTCTGCGGTGGGATTCAGGCCTCCTATTTTTTCTTAGAAGTCCCCAGGTGATTCCAACATGCAGCTAAGATTGTTCTGGATGGAGGTGACAGCACAGGCAGAAGCCTAGGAGCCAGAGGAAGATGCCCGTGGATTTGGGAATTGCGGAGCAGAGAGTAGAGTGAAGCCGAGAAATGCAGCTGAGGAGGTGTCGTGGGTTGAACTGAGCCCCCGTCAAGACTTCCTGCCCACCCAGAACCTCAGAATGTGACCTCCTTTGGAAACAGGGTCTTCAATGATGTGAATAAGGATGAAGATGAAATCATCCTGGATCACGGGGTCCTAAACCCCATGAGAGTGTCCTTAGAAGAGACAAAAAAGGGCACACAGAGAAGGCCACATGAAGATGGAGGTAGAGATTGGAGTGATGTGTCTACAAGCCAAGGAACACTGGTGATCGCCGGCCACCACCGGCGGAGAGGGGCCTGGAACAGACTCTCCCTCCCTCAGAGCCTCCAAGAAGGAACCAGTCCTGATGACACCTTGATTTAGGGCTTCTGGCTTTCAGATCTGTGGGAGAATCAATTTTTGTGGCTGGAAGGCTCCCAGGTGGTGGTAATTGGCTTCGCCAGCCCTGGGAACTCGCACAAGAGGGAAGCAAGGGTTCCACCACCACAAGGGAACTTGGAGATGAAGCTGAGAGCTCTCAGGAACCCAGGGGCTAAGGAGAACTGTCCTATTCCAAGGGTCCCAGACGAGGAAAGGCTGCCCACAGCTGTGACCGTGTGCAGGGTCTCTGTTGGGCAAGACAAGGGTGTTGCCTTCTGACCTCTTCCACTCCAAGTGGGAGGAGGGTGGGGCAGCCTCCAGAGCTTGGGAGACCAGAGAAGGTTCCAAAGAGTCTCTGCTGAGAATAGGGGAACTCAAAGGACCTCCCTGGCAACACTGAAGATCCGCTGGAAATAGAAAACTAGAAACACGGGGTGTCCCTCTATGCACAGGTGAGATTTGACCTTGGGCAAAATAAATAGGGCCTATAAATAAATAGAAGAGATCTGCCTTTCTAGCAAGTAACTCCACTTTCCAAAGAGTGGCCTCCAGTAGCTTGTTCCAGACTTTTCTACTAGATTCTGAGAACTCAACCTTGATCCCTGAGACGTCACGTAAAAGACATCTCCAAAGTAAATAAGTTAGCCTTGCAAATAAGCACCAGCCCAATGAGTGTTTTTCTTACCAGCCTACCTTCCCCAAGGGGGGAAGGGTACATGAAGTCAATTAGTCAACAGATATTTATTGTACACATACTGTGTTGATACATGTCACAGACTAAGGTGTCAACAAATATTGAATATCTCCCTAAGGATCAAAAAAACAGTAATTCAATTAGTCCATAAATATTGATGGAACTGCCAGGCACTGATCCAGGAAAACAGAACAAAGAAGGAGATAAAAATGACAGAGGGCTCTGCCTTCCTTCCGTGAGAGGGAAAGTGACCCATCGGTAGCTCCACTTGGTATCGCCAGAAAGGCTGGTGGTGTAGAAACCAAAAGAAGCTATTTCACAGAACTAGAAAGTTGGAGACTCTGCCTCTGCTCCCTACCGAGTAAAAATGAGTAAATCACCTTAACAAGAAATCACCTTACCAAGAAAGTCTCAGTTTCCTTATCTGTCAAAGCACAGTAGTTCAATCAGCCAAACACTTTTTTATAAGAAGAGGAAAACAAAAAACTGCTATGTTCAAAGTTCACGCAACTTTTAACACCCCGAGGATCTTGTTGGAGGTGTGTGCAGCCAGTGATGCCCCTTAAAGTCTCATTGACAGGAGACAGAATGACTTGAAGGACCCAAAGATGGAGAGAACAGGAGCTCCTATAAACGGTCCCTCCTGAGGCCTCCTGACCCCCACCTTGCTACAAACCACAGCCCCATCCTGGAGACTGAGTCATTTGCCAGAAAGGCAAGACCTTCTCAAAATCCCCCAAATCACTGAGGAAGAGCCTGAGTTTCCTTCCCCAGATGTCTTGAGATGTTCAAAACCAAGACCAGGGTGGGGCAGTCACCACGACTAGCACTTGGGGGACAGGGGTGGGGTCTGCTAGGCAGAGGAGGGGAATTCCTCCTCTGTTTCTATGATGATGTTTTTTCAAACACTTGTTTTCCTCTGTTGTCTGCTGTTGGGTCTTTCTCCTCTAACTTCAGAGCACAAACTCACCACCACATTCAGCCTGGTCCCCCATCCTGACTCACCAGCCTGGAAGAGATCACAGGCCTCCTTCATCCTTTTCCAAAGACCAGTCAAGACCAAGTTCTGGCTTCTCTACCAAAGAGGGTCCGCCCTCTCCTCTTGCTGGCTGAAGGCCAGTCTTCCTCAATGCTTTCTGCATAAAATATTCATACTTTCCCTTTCCTCATTAGTGTCTGATTAAGACTACCTCTGATGAATCCAAGCCACGTGCAGTTCTCAGCTGACCTACAGAGTATTTTGACTTTGTTGTCGCTTTTCTTACAAATCAGGAGATTATTGGTTTATCTTAAAAACAAATCAGGGGCTTCCCTGGTGGCGCGGTGGTTGAGAGTCCGCCTGCCGATGCAGGGGACGTGGGTTCGTGCCCCAGTCCGGGAAGATCCCACATGCATGGCCGCTGAGCCTGTGCCCCGCAACGGGAGAGGCCACAACAGTGAGACGCCCGCGTACCGCAAAAAAAAAAAAAAAAATCAGATTTGGCCACACTGAGTCGACACTCCCACATGGAAACACTGGCTGGATTTGGGTAACAGCAACCCATTTAGGTGGGGAATGTGCCACCCTGGCCCCCAGTCTCTACCACTACTACCCACCCAACCCACTCCACTCATGTCCACGACCTCCCTCGTCTCGGCAGGCAGCTGATTTTGTGACACCTAATTATGGTAAAATGTCCAATAAAAAGGGGGAAAAAAACCCCTGAAACATAATTGAATATGGAACATTATTGTAAGAGCACAAAAATATTCTTAGAAGAACGAGACTTTTTAAAACTAATAAAAACAGCTTTTGTTTCTGGAACAATGCTTCTTTTTTTATGCTTTTAAAAATGACTTCTCAACTCTCAGAAGCTGAGCAGACAATAAGCTTTGTCACATCTAACTGCAAAATCCAACAACAAACTTGCCCAAAGTACCTAAGAATGATCTCAAAGTGATTTCTTCTTTTGAAGCCTAACGTAGCTGGGCCAGGTCTCTGCTCAGAGACCTTCCAAACAGCAGATCTTGGCCACTCTGTACTGGATTCTGAAAATCTTCTGCATCTTTGTGTGGGTTAGCTTACACCAGACTGTAAGCTCACTGATGACAGAGAAAACATCTTGCTCATCTGCAGGCCCCCAGCACGGCACCAGACACTGAGCAGATTCTCAGTAAACACCCAGGGATGGGCTGAGGGTGATGATGGGCTGTGCTGAGGGTGATGGGGACGTGTGGCTCCTGCATGCCAAAGCTCCTGCTCAAATCCCAGCCCCGCTGAGACAAGTTACACTACCCCTCATCTCTCTCCCTCCTCTTCCCTAAAATGGGCATCATGACACCAGCCATTGCCAAGGACTGCTGTGAGTATTTAAAGAGTACTACACACTGAGCACTTAGCCTAGTGACCAGTGGAGCCACAGTGCAGTAAGCGAGAGCCACCGTGATATTATTATTATTATATTGAAAGAAGAGAAGAGGAAAAAGGGACTTCCCTGGTGGCACAGCTGATGGGACTCTGCGCTCCCAGTGCAAGGGGCCCGGGTTCGATCCCTGGTCAGGGAACTAGATCCCACATGCATGCCGCAACTAGGAGTTCGCATGCCACAACTAGGAGTTCGCATGCCACAACTAAGGAGCCCGCCGCCTGCCACAACTAAGACCCGGCGCAACCAAACAAATAAATCTAAAAAAAAAAAAAGAGGACACTAAGTACAGTGAACTCACTCCAACTGCATCTTCCCTTTTTGAGACCAGCACAACACTTATACATTTCAAATCTTCTAAACCAAGCTGTAGGCTACTTGTCAGCCATATTATTTTTGACAGTAAACCCTCCACAAGTAAATAGAAGCAGAGAGAAACCCTGAAATGTGCTCTGTCTCTGGCCCCTTTGGTCATCTTGGGCCACCGCTGACCCCTGTGGGTCACACAATCTTGCTGGGTACCTTGCACAGGCTACACTGCCCAGGGTCACATACAATGCACTTGCCAAAAACCGACCCTGCCCAGAACCCAACTTACAGCACTCGATGGGGTTAGATGCTGTCTGCAAGGAGACGATCCTTCCGCTGGACTCTGGAATGTGCACCCGGAACACCAGCCTCACCCGCGTGTTCTTCCTCCCGATGTCCGTCTCGCCTTTCCGCAGCTCAATGTCCGCATTCCGAAGCTTCAGGATCCCCGCACAGTCAATGCTGCCGGAAAGTCAAGAACCCCACTGACAAGTGACCATCTCGGGGAGCAGGAAAGGTCACCCACAAGGGGGGCGGGGGATTGCAATACACGGATAAAGTTTTCAGCCAGGAATTTAAACTAAAATGGGCGTAAAACACAAAGTAATTAGCAAAATCCCCCAGTGGAAATTACCTCTCTAGGGAGATTCTGCATGCTTACTTTTCTACTCTCAAAAGTACCTGAAAAACTCAAATACGCAACTGGGAAAAACTGATTATGGACTATGCAATAGTAAGAGTAGTAATATGGACATTAAATACCTTGAATTTGATAAATGTACTGTGGTCACGTAAGAGAGCATGCTTGTTCTCAGGAAATGCATGCTTAAGCATTTAAAAGTAAAAAGGCATGATGTCTGCGACTAACTCGCAACCGGTTCAGGAAAAAATAAAGAGAGGGGGAGAAAAACAGTGATAAAGCAAATGTGGGAAATGTTAACAACTGGCAAATCTGAGTGAACAGTGTAACAGGAGTTCTTTGTACAATTCTGGCAGTTTTCATGTTCGAGATTATTCTCTAATAAAGTTTTTTAAACTCCAACACACGGGTGCAATGTTTCCCACATTTTAGCCATATGCATATCAGCTCTGTGAGGTTAGACCTATCTGCATAGTTGTTTAATAATTTTAAGTCAAACAAATTTATAAATGTAAATAAATTTAGCCTCATCCCAAGCAACATAAACCAAAGATGCATAAGTATTCTTCCTCTCAATACACACGAAAAACATCTAGGTCTAGAACTTTTAAAATGGAGACTTTTAAAACAGAAACCTCTGTGGGTCCTTCACAAATTGGGAACCACTGTCTACGGTTGCTTCCATCAACACCATCCTCCTCCCAAATCCCCGCCACTTGGCCCCATCACTTCCCCATGAAGACCCACTGCCCTCAGCCCCCAGCCCTTACGTTGCCCTCATGTTGTTTTTTGGCTCCAGCGGAATCTCCAGGACTTTGGTGTTGCCCACGATCTTCTCGTAGCTGGTGGTGGTGACGGTTTTCCCCGTGATCCGGTGTACCTGGTAGAAGGCATGGGGCTTAAGGATCCGCTCGTCGGCCGTCCCAATGAAGATCTGAAGCCCCAGCGGCTTGTTTTCCATGTAGCCATGGAGCTGAGGGGGAGAAAACAAAACCAAATTATTACAGCACCATTAACATACAGGGTATGGTGGCTACAGTCCAACAAACAAAAACATCAAAGAAGCTCATGAGCAGCAGAAAGAACACAGAATTGCTGCAATGTCTAGAGTCATGGAGAATTGGAAGTAACTTGCATGTCCAGCCAGAGGGGACTGCTTGGATAAATTATAGGGATCCTCTTTAAAATGGAATATTAACCAGCCCTGAGAAAGA